TAACACGTGTTCGATGGTCCGTGAACTATCGCCGTCTATTAATCTCAACAAGAGCTAGAGGCACTGTATCAACTTGCCCCTGTAACAACTAGCCCGGTCTCCCCTATTATATAAAAATAATATCAAACATTATTGAAATTATATTGTTAAAACAATGCTAAATAAATAAAATGTGTAAAGCAATAAGTAAATTATTAACATCGTTCGATTTAGAGTAGAATACGTTACATTTATTCATATTTGTATTGGTAAGTATTTTTCCATTTTTATTATATCATTACATACATAAAACAATGTCTGAACATATACTTCAATCCTTATAAATGTGTATAGAGACTTCGTCAAAGTACTGTTACGTCTCTGGTCGTTTGTTAATTTCCCGTAAAAATTCTTCCCGAAGAACTTCAGCGATACAAATCCTTTATTAAATAAAATTAGTTTATTCTCCCTCAATACAACATTGCAATACACAGAATTTCCACAGTCACTTTAACTTAAACACACGCTATAATTCACAATGATTTACATACTTTACTTACGGCTTGACTCGATTATCTGTCTCTATATCTCTCTATCTACTATTATTCTCTGCTTTATTTGCCGAGCTTATATATTAAAATAGAGGGCGTCTGGCAAACACTCGAGCCTTCATGATCCTTCTAGAAACTCATCACGTGTTACCAGCGTCACTTGACTTCCGCTGTCGTAACAGTACAACATATTAAAAACTTTATAATGCCATTAACGTCTCTACACTAATGGCCAACCTTTGCATTTATTTGTAATAACAAAGAAACGTGGAAGGAGGCTAGCGAAAACCGGATGACTCTTTTAAGAAAAAATGCTTATCCACAGGAATTTATACAAAATATAATACGAAATTTTGATAGGTACGTTCTTCTGAATCGTATAAATAAAGAAAACACATTTAAAGCCCGGGCTACTTGGGTGATTCTATATATAAGTGATAATATTACCACAAAACTAAAGAGAATAATTAGAGCATCAGACTTACAAAAACCAGGCATCTCCCTTAAATCATTAATAACAAGTTCAGCATACAAGAAAGAAACACGATGTATATAAAAATAACTGTAAAGCCAATAAATAAGGACTACATGATAGATGCCATAGTAAAAACGTTGTTTATGAAGTAACTTGTGGTAGATGCTCTACTACGTATTTTGGAAAGACTTGCCGATTCATACATGATCGAATATCTGAACATGTGCGTGTCATCCAAAACCTCAATACTAACAATGCTATTGCAGAACATTATGGAACAGTACATGGCCTACCACAAGCGAATTACATCTTATTGGATGTTAAGATCTTATCTAAATGTCATAATTTTTGGACAGAAAAATTAAAAAATCCATTTTATCAATAAAAATATACCTAAATTGAATAAATACAAAGGTTGACCATTACTAGAGACGTTATTATGTTGTACTTTGACGAAGTCTCTATACACATTCATAAGGATTGAAGTATATGTTCAGACATTGTTTTATGTATGTATTGATATAATGAAATGTTAAAATACTTGCCAATACAGATATAAATAAATGTAGCGTATTCTATTTTAAATCGAACGATTTCAAAAATTTACTTATTGATTTACACATTTTATTTATTTAGCATTGTTTTAACAATATAATTTCAATAATGTTTGATATTATTCTTATATAATATGAACTTTCTAAACACCTGTATCAATGTTCTATTTACAAATGACGGTATTCCCATTTAGATTTAACTGATTATGAAAACTTGTAGTATTATCGATAGCTCCTGACCAAGCTGTAATAGCGAAATATTGAGCTAATAAAGTTATATTCTGGAGATATAGGTCGTGATTTTATTTACATTTATAGAAATGTATCGTAATAAACTCCAGTTTACGTTAAACAATGTTAAGAATAAAATTAAAATATTTAGGTTATGTTCTGTTATCCAGTATGTACATATGTGTGTGTGTTTATGTCACCGTTGATTCTTTTATAACGGATATTTATTGAATTTTGCTAGTGGCGTATTATGTATGTAGTTTTTAGTTAGTATATCGCTCAATTATCAGGAAATCTACACATCACTAATACCATAATTTTAAGATATAGAATATATGAAATCATCACATTCTAATTGCAGTGAATATATCATACTATTTTTTTATGTATGTTAACAGAAAAAATGAGCAGGTGGAATCATTATTAATATGCATGAATAAATAAAACGCAGATGATGCCTTATTTAGTCTCTCGATCCATACTTTCAGTAATTATCGCCCATTTTTTTTCTCAGTAGAACTAGCGGTCCTTAAATTTATTTTTAACGTCCTCCTTAATAATCCTTAAAATATTGTATAAATACACAATCATACTGTCAATCTGATGATAATGTAAAGTCTGACCTGATGTAAACAATTGGTGATTTTCATTGATGTGGATTAAGCAAGAAATCACTTAAGAATGAATAAATTGGCGTTTGTTTTTTGTCACCCATAAAAACCATTAAAGATGGCAAAAGTAACACAGTGTAATTATTTTTACTGCTAAAATTATTTTTAATTTCTACATTTGTAAAACTCTCAATCTCCACCCACAAATTATAAAACTCTCACCTAAGTAGTTCAGTAATAACTGAGCACCCGCCCTCCTCCCTTAACAACATCATCCAGGTACACAGTCTTCCAGTGGCTCAGCGGTAAGTCTGCGTACTTATAATGCTAAAATTCGGGTTTCAATACCCGTGTTTAGCACAGAATAGACAGTTCATTGTGTACAATAGACCATACGTTGAACTGAAATATGTGCCTAGAAAATTAGTTTCGTTCCAACAAAAGAGGCATTATTGGTTTAGTGCAGACTTGTGTAGCTAATATCCTCACAGATCTCGAGTTAAAAGTTCTCCACAAAAAGATTCCTGAGGTTTTTGTCACGAAACAACCAAAGTTATCTGGCTCTTGATTAATTTCGTCACATACCCGCTAAAGATGTTTTGGCTATAATTTCAACACTGTTTGCCTAATCTGAGTACAATATGACTCAAAGTAATTGAAATAGATTAGGAAAATCATTCAAATGGCAAATGAAAACATAACTCCACTTATACAAGATTTTTATGGGAAAATGTGTTGAAAAATATATAACCAGAAAAACCCTTTAATTCAATCCCTGAATTAAACATACAATTGTATATAGAATTCAGAATTCTTGTCTATTTTAGTATACATTATGTACCAAAATTATCCCCAATGTTTATGCAAACAGATAATGTGCATTTGTTTGTTTGTTTTGAATTTCGCGCAAAGCTACACGAGGGTTATCTGCACTA